CGTCAAACTTGAGGTGCGTGTGAGAAATCTGGAGCAGAGATGGCTAATACACAGCCATTTCCCCCTTATTCCTTGAATAGGAAGTCCTCCTGAATTTCACTGGGCATAGGGCTGCCCAGTTAGAGAAACTGTTTCCCAATGCTCCTTGCACCTGGGTGTGTCCATAAATCTAACTTCTGGCCCGTGGAAGTGATGTGCACAACTTCTGAGGTCACGCCCTTAAGGGGAATCCACCTGTGCTCCCCTCACCCTCTTCCCCTTCCTGCTGGCTGGGATGCGGATGTGGTGGTGGGGTGGAAATGACCACCTTGGACCCAGAGCTGGGACACTCGTGCGGAGGGTGGCAGAACGTCTGTCAGGCCGGGCCTGCCTGTCGCCTGGCTATGATTTGAGAGGGAGCTACACCTCTGTTAAGACATTGCATTTTGGGGTCTCTTTGTACCTTAACTTGTATAGTATCCAAGCAGAGATGTCAGGTAGGCATTTGGGCTCAGAGGGAAAGTCTGGAAAAGAGGTATGAGTTTGAGAATTCTCAACATGTAGGAATAAGGAAAGCCAGGAGTGTGGAGGAGGCTGTCCGTGGGGGGAGAGGAGAGGCTGGGGGGAGCCTCTGGAGTCCACACACTGAACGCTTGGGTTGGCAAGTGTGAACAATCAAAGGAGGCTGAGAGGACTCAGCTGAAGCAGACCCGGGAAGGAGCGGGTTGAGGGTCCAGGAGCAGAAGGGAGGAGGGAGTGCGAGCAGTGTCGTGGAGCTTGAACAGCGTCCGCGAGCGCTTCGGTGGTGCCCGGCCAGCCTCATCCATGACAGCTGGGCAAGTTGTCTCACCAAGGGGTTGTTTGCAAAGAGGATTATTATTGCTAATGCAACTCCGTAATAACTGTGCACATCTCTGGCAAGAACACAGAGACATCTAATTACTATTTCTCAATCCAATTTTCATGATAAATTATCCAGAAAGATTAGAAATTGTCAAACTCAGCTTGATACTTCATATAAAACGCTAAACAAACCTACGTGCTTTAGTATCCTATCTCCAGGTTCCAGAAATTCATTTAAATTAAAACAAAAAAATTTAAGTTGTGGTTAAAAAAAACACATAACATAGCATTTACCTAACAGGCAGCTGACCACAAGTTTGCTATAACTGTTGTGGAGACAACAACAGGGAAGAATCTATCATAAAACAAGGTCAACAGTTGATTTAGGGAGGTTCTAACAGGGAGCCTCACTGATCAAATGTCCTTAATTGCAAAGTTGTACCACTGTCTTTCCCGATTCTGAAGGAGACAGGCCAGGAGATGTGAGAAAGGCCGGCAGCACAGATGATCTAATGTGGTCCGCTGTCCCCGTCCCAGCAGACCACCCTCATTTCCAGCAAATAAGCGGCAAGCCAAGACTGGGGATAAACTTCCCTGATTCTAGAGTCCAGTGCTTTTTTGCTACATCACCGTACACGATTTTGGTCTTGCTAAAATAATTTTTAAAAAAATTACCATCTTGGCCATTTTTGAGTGCACCGTTCAGTACCAAGTCCATTCACGTTGCTGTGCGACAAGTCTCCAGAGCTTTTTCAGCTTGCACGACTGAAACTATTCCCATGAAACAACTCCCAGTGCTCCCCTCCCCCAGCTCCCAGAAACCACCATTTTACTTTCTGTCTCTGTGAACTTGACCATTTTAGGTACCTCACATAAGTGAGATCAGACAGCATTTATCTTTTTGTGACCGGCTTATTTCACTCAGCTTAATGTCCTCAAAGTTCATCCGTGTTGTAGCATTTGCCAAGATTTCCTTCCTTCTTAAGGCTGAATAATATTCCGTTGTATGCATACACTACATTTTGCTTTCACAAATTCATTTTAAAAAAGTCAACTTTCCAAATTACTGTATCCTTCTGGTAAAGCTTCTTGTCTACCCAGAAAACACGTAGAAGGGAGATGGCAGATTAGTTACCAACTTTCTCCAAGAAAACGGACCCTCTAAATCAGGGGTGGGCAGACTTTTCCTGTAAGGGGCCAGGGAGTGAATATCTTTGGCTTTGGCGGTCATACTGTCCCTGTCACAGCTACACAATGACTCTCCTCCCAGGGTGTCTGCCCGGCTCCCGCACTTTTGTAGTTGCTGATGTTTCTGTTCACTGTCTGTCTTCCCTGCCAGCCTTGAAGGCAGGGGCTATCCCCTCCCCCGATGAATTTCTAGCACCTGGTACATCAGACCCATGGCAGGGACTTCACATATATTATATGTCCTTGGGGGAAATACGGTGTTTGTTGACTGGCTCATCCCTGCAGTGTGTCAGGCTCCTTGGGAAGGAGTTTGTTCACACATATTTGCCTAGAGGACAATGTCTAGTCCTTTAAAATACCAGTGTTTGGATGTCAATGTGCCAGAACCAAAGATGAGAATTTAAGACAGTTTTGATAGCTCTGGGTAATATGAGAGTGAATGGCTTATGTATTAGCATGAAAGTAAATGTTTTATCCTTCTTCTTTCTGTTCTTACTGACCTCGAAACAGCTGTGTATGGTCATGTTTGTTGATCACTGCACTGGGGCCCTGGCTGGTGGGGCACGTGGGCAGACGCTCATCTTTGCTCTCTAGGCCCTATGCCAGGTGTGGCCTATGTCACCTGGAGGGGGTGTCACCTGGAGGGCGCATCTTTTTCTAGTTCATACTAGAACTAGAAAAAGAACTGCGCCACCAGGTATCTTGTGGGCCAGCTGTGCCTGCACTGACTCTGCTTAGCTCAGAATTTTTCTGGCTTATACATTGGTCTCCTAACCTAGCTTTTCTGCCTCTGAGTTTTCCCTCATATAATTTTTTTCTGCTAGATTAATCTCATCATTCCTGTGCTCAGAAAACTTCGGTGGATTCCTGACATTCTCACGAGGGTTTCCTAGCCTTCTCCAGGTCTGGCCCCGTCCCACTTGTCACGCCTGACCTGTGGCCACCGCCCACCACTCTCCCTGTGCTGGCTTCGCCGCAAGTGGACCCTTGCTGGCTTCCTGGCCGCACAGCGCCGGCGGCAGGAGCACTGGTGGCTCACATTTCCTGGCTTCTCAGTGTGAGCCAGGGCTGCACCAAGAGCTTTGCACACCCTGCTCCCCCGCTTCTCAGACGGCCCTCTGACACAGGCTGTGCAGGACTCCCCCCTCGGCCCTGAAATGCTCCACATGCCTTTTCTCCTTTACTGAGAACAGCTCCTTGAAATAGAGTCTCTAAAACCACATCTGATGAATCCCGAATAGTCTTACCATCTTTTCTATCATTCACATGCATTATGTCATTTAACTGTCTCAAGGACTCTGGGAAGTATATTATTATCTTTGTTTTTCAGCTGAAAAAACTTGAAGCTCACAGATGTTACGTAATTTTCTCAAGGGCACGTAGTTAATTACAGGCAGAGCTGTTTCAGAGGCCTCAGTTGGTTTGATACCAAAGGCTGGACTTAAAAGAGACCAGTGGTTCTCAAACCTAATTGTCCATAGGGATCACCAGTCACTGGGAACTAGTTTAAAATGGGCACTAACTCTAGAGATTCTGCCCCAGTGGACCTGGAGGAGGGCCCAGGAATGTGCATTTTCCATATGCAGTTCAGGCGATTCTGCTGCGTTTTGTGGAACGTGCTTTGAGAAACCCCCATGCTAGACTATCCTGTCTCAAGTGATGAATATTAACCTCTTCTATTTGGCGGTATATGGTCAGTACATTCAGCTGCTTCTGAATCATGCTTATTGGCCTAGCTCATCAGTTATAGAGCAGGATGCTTCCTTTTTATTTGTTGTGGCAGAGGAAATGCATCCATTTTGTCCCAGAGAGGACCTGAAATCTTTGAATGTAGATTTAAGAGAAGCAGAGCACAGATCTACTTCGCACCATTTAAAATAGTAATCTGCGGGAATTCCCTGGTGGTCCAGTGGTTAGGACTCCATGCTTCCACTGCAGGGGACCCGGGTTCGACCCCTGGTCGGGGAACTAAGATCCCACGTGCGGCCAAAACAAACAAAGAATAAAGTTAGTTTAAAAAGAAAATAAATAGTGATCTTCTTCAGAGGGACAGTGCTTCCCACTCTGATTCTGGAGGTGAAAGAAAGAATTCTCTGGACGAGTGTTGAAAGCATTGGTTATACATTGAGATCCTGCAGCTTGGCCAATGAAAGATCTATAAATGCTTGGAAAATCCGTGATTTTCCTGATAGGTTTAACAGAGTGTGTCATTAAGGGAAATGGCCTTGCCCAATATTGGGATCGACCACAGAGCATCGAGCCAAAGGGGATTTTTCTCAAGCCTGGAAATTTAATGGAATTTACCCTGCTAGGTTTCAGACTTTCTTGGGACCCATGATCCTTTCATTCTTTCCATTTTTTCCCTTTCGGAATGGGAATGTCTATCCTGTGCTGGCCTCCCTGTTGTATTCTGCAAATAGAAACCTTGCCTGGGTTCATGGAAGAGGAGTTTTCCCCCAGGTTGAATCATACCCCAAGTCTCACCCATATCTGATTTAGATGGTATTTAGATGAGATTTTGGACTTAGAGTTAATGCTGGAATAAATTAAGACTTTTGGAGATGTTGGGATGAAGTGAATATATTTTGCATGTGAGAAAGACAGGCATTAACTGTCCAGAGGGTGGACTGTTGATTGTGTATTCTCCAAATTCACATATTGAAGTCTTAACCCCCAGGATCTCAGAATGTTACTTTATTTGGAAATAGAGTCGTTGCAGATGTAATTAGTTAGGATGAGTTCATACTTGAGTAGGGTGGGCCCTAATCCAGTATAACTGGTGTCCTTATGAAAGGGAGGAATTTGTACAAGGACACACACCCACAGAACACCACGTGAAGATGAAGAGAGATTGCAGGGATGCATTTACAGACCAAGGAATGCCAAAGATTGCCAGCAAACCATCAGAAGCTCGGAGAGAGGCATGGAACAGATTCTCCCTTGCAGCCCTCCAGGAGAAACCAACCCTGCCAACGCCTTGATCTTGGACTTCTAGCCTCCAGAACTGTGAGACAATGAAATTTCTCTTGTTTAAGCCATTCAGTCTGTGGTACTTCGTTATTGAGGCCCTAGCAAACGAATACAGATTTTGGCATGATTTAATGCTTTCTGGACACAGAACATCTTCCCTGAAGACTGTCTTTATCCCTGAGTTAATCAGTCAAGGACTCCATTTTCAGAAAATTCTAAGGTAAAGGGGAAATCTCATGGAATGGGAATTTAATTACCAAAATGTTAGTGAGGCTTGGTGTCTCCACAGTACCACTCCCTGAAGCCGTGGAATGAACAAGCACAGCCCAGAACCCACCCTCACAACTGGGCTCAGAGCTAAGCGTTGCTGGACATCCCTTGCGACCTGCAGTAGATTCTCTTAAAAACAAGCACTTGAATGCAGTGACTTTCTGAGTGCTCTCCACTGAGCTCCCCTTAACAATGCTCTCTTGCGGACAGTGCCAAGATATTTTGGGCTTCCCTCCATCTCAGTCCAGCCAGGAGTCAGGAAAGCTGTTCCCCGGCTTCCCAGTTCCCAGAGGCCAGGGCAGGTTTCCATCTGCCTACCACCTGTCGGTATCTGACCCGTGAGGGGCTGCTGTGGAGACAGCTGGGACAGAGTTGGAAACTCATTATGTTAAAGATGGAGGAGAAGCTTTCTGTAGGCTTGTGTCGTGGGCTGCCTCTTAACAGGGTTTTGTCACTGTTAGATTTGAGGTTAAAAAAGTGTTTCTTCCTTTGATGAAAAGAGATATTTCTAAAGGAGAGGAGCATGGGGAAATAATGTGGCCAGACCAGTTATGGAGCCATTCCGAATCCTTGCAAATATTATGGTGGCCATACTGAATACAACTGAATTCAAACAACTGTCAGGTTGGTACCAGGCTCCTTGACAAGGGAAGTATAGGCATGGAGACTGAACAGGTGGCTGAACCGATTAGGGAGGAACACGTCCTTCTTGTGCAAAACCTGGAGACCCCGGGCTTTGCTGAGGTCACTGCTGTCAGCTTGCCCTTTTCTCAGTGAAGGTTATATTGTCAGACGGACTAAAGGCTTGGGGTGGAGGAAATTTACTGTGTAAAATCCAGATTCTCCAGGACAGATGATGTTTCCTTATCCAAGGGAAAGAATGTCAACTCGGGTCTCAGTGTTTAGTTCTCTATCCTGACCCCTTGCCAGCCAGAATTCGTAGCTGCCATAAGACACATCCCAGTGAGCCCCTGCCAACAGGGAGTGCATGTGGTTGTTTACTTTTGAAGGTTAGCGCGATGGCAGCTGTTGTTTCCCTCCATCACCGGAGCTGGTGGACTCGTTTGTTCAGCTGAGTGGGCTGTTTCTCCTGGTGGGAAGATGTTTAAGGCTTCCGTAGCCAGGGAAGGCTGGGAGGGGCTGGGTGAGGAGTCAGGCAGCTGTGCAGCGGGTGGTCTCTGTCAAGGGCAGAGGGGAACTGGATATGTTTGAGGGGTGGGGGATCTGGAATAGCAGAGAGAGAATATGGTGGGGATCGCACTCAGGGGTTGGGGGCGTCCGGTGAACTGACAGATGGAAGAGAAGGGAGGGGGCCCCTCCATCACTCATGGTGCAGCCAGAAAAGAGAAGTCGTCCAAAATGTTTTCAACAGAGAGAACTTAATACAAAGAATTTATTACCTGGGAAGAGCTGAGAAGACACAGGGGGTGGTGAGGCAAATTAGAGATGAATACAGCAAGAAGCCAGCTGTAGCATCAGGTATATTAACTTGAGCACAGAAGCTGGGGCACTGGCTGGAAATGGGAACCAGTTCGGGCCTGCCGAGTGGGAGCTGGGATGGTGAAGGGAGGGGCTCCTGGTGGGAGGTGGAGCCACTCAGAGACGCTGCCTGAGGTGAGAAGGTGAAGAACCCTGGCCCCTCCCCATCCCCAGAGCCGGGGTGGCGGGGGTTAACATCTTTATTGGAGTATAATTGCTTTACAATGGTGTGTTAGTTTCTGCTTTATAACAAAGTGAATCAGTTATACATATACATATGTTCACATATCTCTTCCCTCTTGTGTCTCCCTCCCTCCCACCCTCCCTATCCCACCCCTCCAGGCGGTCACAAAGCACCGAGCCGATATCCCTGTGCTATGCGGCTGCTTCCCACTAGCTATCTACCTTACTACGTTTGTTAGTGTATATATGTCCATGATTCTCTCTCGCCCTGTCACAGCTCACCCTTCCCCCTCCCCATATCCTCAAGTCCATTCTCTAGTAGGTCTGTGTCTTTATTCCTGTCTTACCCCTAGGTTCTTCATGACATTTTTTTTTCTTAAATTCCATATATATGTGTTAGCATACGGTATTTGTCTTTTTCTTTCTGACTTACTTCACTCTGTATGACAGACTCTAGGTCTATCCACCTCATTACAAATAGCTCAATTTCGTTTCTTTTTATGGCTGAGTAATATTCCATTGTATATATGTGCCACATCCCCAGAGCGTTTTTCTGTCCCAGACTCCTGGGAAGCCACTTGGTAAGAGAGCCCAAGAAGAGAAAAGAAGAGAAAACTCATGGATGTACTTGAGAGCGGATGGCAGGTGACCAGCATAGCCATGACAGACAGGCACTGGGTTAGGAGCCACTGGGAGGTGCCTGTCAGTGCTGTTATTGTATCTCTGGAGATCCGAAGGGGACCAGAGGGATCAGAGGGGTGCATTAAGTTGCCCAAAGGCACACCAGGGCAGAGCCAGAATTTGAACGTGGGACTGTCCGGCTCTCGGTTCTTCAGTACCATGCTGAGGATAGGATTGGCCTTATGAGGACAGAGGGTTTCTGGGGATGCTTGGGCAGAAGCGCACAGAGTCAAGAAGACGTGCAGGTGTAGGGTTATTAGGTGGGAGGAGGGCCCACAGATGGGCCAGAGTTGGGAGGACAGTGGAAAGGCTGGGGTGATGGGGTGATGTCTGCCCTACTCTGCTTGGATTCGAGCATCAGAATTCTACGAGCAGCCACAGGAAAAATGAGAAAGCCATTTGGCCATGATTTGGGGGTTGGGGGAAGAAAGAGAGGGAAACTCCAGGTCATGCCAAGATTTCAAGCAGGGGGACAGCTCTTTGGTGCAGCTGCAGGCAGAGCGCTTGCTGCAGTGCTGTCCGCTGGGCAGCCGGCTCCATTCTGGGAAGACAAAGGCCCCGGCAACCCCAGAGCTTTGAGCACACGCATCTTTTCCGGACTCAGTTGGATCTCCCCGTGAGCAGCACGGTGCGGAGGTTTGGAATGGATGTTTGTGTTGCAACAGTGTTTTCCAGGTGGTTGCCTAAATTAAGTGATGAGTCTGCATAATGTGCTGGGAGGATTTGAACTCAGATGGTGAGTCCATGTTTACTGCAATGCTGACTAATTCTTGCACTGCATCAGGGGATGGGCTCAGAGTCATTGAACGTGTTTTTAAAGTTCACAAACAGGTTACCCAAGTACTCACTGCACGGGGTGCAATCTATGAAAGGCTTTGTGCTCTTCCTGTGTTCTCTAGAGTGATGACTCCAAGATGGTGCCACCAGGAGGTCAAAGCTCCTTTTCTGAGCCCTCCTCCCTGGCAGCTCCTTCTGAAAGGAAGGAGAAGCATTTTAACCCGTGGCAGCATCTCAGCCACCAAGCCCCCTGCCCTCCACTGCACCCCGAGAGTGGGGCTTTGAAAACACCCAGTCCTGTGTAAGAGATCTTTAAAGTGGATGAAGGACACGCTGCCTTCAAAACGCCCACCTGGATAAATAGAAAACTTCTGAAAGCAAGTGTTAACAATTGAAAGAACAGGGGAAATTGAAATGGTACCTTGGCCCCATGCATCTTACCATCCCCAGCCGTACTTCGGAAGTTTCCTTCTGTGGAGGGCATAGAGCAACGTGGTTCTTCATCGGGACTGAGTAAAGAGCATCCGCTTTGAGTCTGAAAAGCTCAGTCTAGCAGCTCCTTTCATTGGACAGTTTGGCCCAAGGAGCATTTTATGAATTACACTCATCACAATAACATGCCCAGGAATCTGCTTCTGTGCTTGGAGAATACTCCCGCTTTATAAATGGTCCACTTTATTTAGCCCAGTGTACACACGCATGATTGAATGCTCCCCTGGGAGTGAGGGTGGGTGAGATTGGGGAGGAGGAGGAGGGGGAAGCGAGCAGTCGGTCCATGTACTGGAAAACGGCGGCCACGAAATCTGCTGGTGGCCTGGACCTCATGGTCTAGGACGACGGGACCCGGAGGCCTTGCTCTGACAGAAGCGGCTCTGCCCTAATGGGTCCTGGGCCCGTGGTCTGCCTGTGGTAGCCACGTGGACAAGTGTTGGTTGCATGGCTCCTCGGTGCCACCTTCTGCGAAGGTGCTGGGACTCACCAGGAGGTGGCTCTTGTCCCAGAGGACTGCAGAGTCCTACAGTAAACGAAGGATCATGGGGCCGGTGGCAGGGTGAGGGTGAGGACACAGGGCGATCCTTACCTTGGGGGTGGGATGAGTGGGGGCGGTTGGTGGCCGGTGCTCACTCTTTGGCTGCTGCTTCTGTATTTGTACATGGTAACTTCTAAGTGAACTGTGAGTTTGGGGGAAGACATTCCCACAGAGCCTCTTTCTCTCATCTCTTTTCTCTCTCCTCTCTCCCCATTTTTCCTGTCTCCCTGTGGCGTGAAACCATGAGCAGTGGTCATCTTTTCAAAGTTAGTCCATAGAATTGGGACCAAGTCCATCACAGCAAGGCCAGGTCTTCAGAGAAAGTGGACTGAGTCTGGAGAAACACTGAAATCTGATTGTCAGGTTCCAGAGACAGGCATGGTCAGGGCACAGAGCTGGTCGTGGACCAGGTTTGGCTGGTGAGTGAGGACCGTGGAGGTCCAGGAGGACTGCAGGGGTGGAGGGGAGCAGAAGCAGGGAAGAGACCACCCCCAGCAAGAGCTCGTGGACACAGAGGTGACCTCCTGACCCAGTGGGCGGCCTCATATGCTCTTGCTGTTGGGCAGAGAGCTGTCTGGGAACGAAGGTCGCCCGGGAGCTGCAGGTGGGCACTGGGCAGGGGGTGAGCTCGGTGAGGAGGTTACGGCAGCAGCGAGGGCAGGTCTGGCACTCGTCTGGATTTAGTCTGAGCCTTTTTCTGTTTTGCTTAGTTTATTTCCTGGAGCATGGACCCAAAGAAGTCCTCCTGACTTCTGAGGGAACTCTGCTTTGGAGTAACTTCTGAGCGAGCTCTGCCCGTCAAGAAGCAACATCTCGTCGGGACGCTGAGTCCAGGCTGGCTTTCACCTCAGCTTCCTTCAGCTGATTTTCCTTCCTTGTTCTTCTTTTTTAAAGAGGAGATGCTGTTTGTTCTGTCATATGGAACTGTGATTACTCACCAAGGAAGGATGCCCCCTCGAGGCTGTGGCAGGAGCAGGGGAAATTCCTCTCAACACTGGCCCCGAGGAATTCTCGTGATCCTGGTTTCCGTTTTGGTCAAAACTGAGATGAAAGGACTCGACCCTGCATTGGGGGGAACTAGAATTTTGACCCTGAGGGAGGCAGAGCTGGATGAAAAACGAGCCCTTCTCTGTTCTGTGAACGAGGAGGCACATCCTGCTGTAAGTTGGACAACTGTTGTGTGTCAGACTTCTGGCTTGGAGCCCGTCCCTAAATCTTAGCCTCGGGAGGGGAGGAGAAGCAACTGTGGAGAAGGGGCTGATCTTTTCCCCATCAAAGTGTTAGATGACACTATCCGATGTCAGCTTAGTCTGCTTGGGCTGCTGTAACAAAATACCACCGAGTGGGGGCTTAGGAACGACACATAACTTACTTCTCACAGTTCTGGAAGCTGCAGGTCTGAGACCAGGGTGGCAGCAGCTTCAGTGAGGACGCTCTTCTTGGTCACAGACCTCTCTCTGTGCCCTCACACGGAGGAGGGGCTGTGGGCCCTGTGTGGCCTCTTTTATACGGACACTAATCCCACCATGAGGCCATTGCTCTCGTGACCTCATCACCTCCCAAAGGCCTCACCTGCCAACACAATCACCTTTGAGGGTTAGGGTTTCAACACGAATTTTGGGGCAACACAAATATTCAGACCATAGCATCTACCTGCATTTTGACTTTGTGTGTTTGTAATAGTTATTAGAAATGCAATTAGAAATAGCAGGTTTCCTAGAGAAAGTTTCCAGTTGGTAAAAATGGGACAACTTATCTTGGATGATGACGGAAATTTCTAGTTGAAGGATTTTTTTTACATCTCCTTACTTCCAGCCACTCTGATATATGTAACTCTGTGAACTTCATTACTTCTAGATTTGGTATTCTCTAAAAAATTAAAAAAAGAAATTAAATTACGCACATGAAATCGACCGTATTAACCATTTCTAAGTGTGCAGCTCAGTAGTGTTAAGTATATTCACATCGTTGTGCAACCAGTTTCCAGAATTCTTACTTCTTGCAAAACGGAAACTCCCCATTCCCCCCTCCCCCAGCCCCTGGCAGACACCCTTCTACTTTCTGTCCCCGTGAAGCTGATGACTCCAGGAGCCTCACGTAGGCGGCATCGTACTGTGGTTGTCTTTCTGTGACTGGTTTATTTCACTGAGCATAATGTCCTCAAAGATTTGGTATTCTTTTATTTCATCTTTAAAATAATATTTCCACTTAACATCAGAGGGATAGCCCATTCAAACTTTGGAAAGGTCATCGATAGAATGTGAAAAATATTCTCTAAGCCTGGACATTTTAAAGGCATGTATGTATCTGGAAAACAGCATGCTGCTAACAGCAGAGTGGGACATCTCGGAGGTGAAAGTCACATGGGCTGACGCCTCCCTGGTGAAGGCAGAGGGGCCGTGTTAAGTGGTGCCAGCCGGAGACCTCGTGTGCAGCAGGGAGCTGAGCCTGCAGGCCTGGGACCAGGGGCAGGGGCGCTCTGCAGATGTGCCTGCTTGTGGTGGGTGCCCGTGGTCACACTGCTCCCCCGGGGCTGCTGCAACAACTGCCAGCGGAGTGGGTCTGGCAGCCGCGCCAGAGGGGGACATCTGCCTGGGCTCTCGCCGGAATGGGAGGACAGGGGGCAGCTGCAGAGAAGCAGAGACGAGGGCAGGAGCGGAGGAGATGGAAGGCACGCCCTCGACCTCCATCTCTGCCTCCCGCCCCAACACAGGCCCGCGGTTTGGTCAGGGAATTCCGAGGAAGCTGTTCCAGTCCTAAGCAGCTGTCCAGCCGAGTCGCACAAATGCCAGAACCAGGGGGACGGGAGGGGGACACCAGGCCGTTCGTCTCCCAGGCGGGGCCTTTAGACTCTTCTTGGAGTTTCCTTAGGTCTCGGCAGTCAAGCAAATAATCTCTAAGCACCGTGACATCATCTTTTTCAAAGAAATGCAGTTTGCTACTGGCAATAACACAGATTTCCCACCCACAAGAGCCCATGTGTTTTCTCACTATTTATCAGAACTTTACACTCTGATGAGTGATGGAATACAGTGGCCATTTGTTACTGCTGTGGCATTGTTTGCTGTCAGGAATGACACTGGAACAAAGAGGTAATCAGTTAAACGATTGCATTCAAAATTTATTCTCTCTGGAGGGAGTATACACACACTCACATAGCAATAGGGTTAATGTGTGCAGCCTTTATAAATGATCTGTGTAGTAATTTTCACTTTAAAATACCGTGTTCCCATCCGTCGTCTCATTCGGGTGTCACGAGAATGCTTATAGGGTTGCTGCAGTTGGCAAGAACGAGACTTAGAGGAGAAATGCTTGTCCGTGGCCGTATAGGAGGTCCACTGGGGCTGCAATATAGGCCTCCCGACTCTTAAACCAGAGCTTTTCCCTCTAAACTGTACTTGAGAAGAAGAACGTGTCAGAACCAGAGCAAGAGATAGACTGTTTCTCCTCCTGACTGGCAGGGCTTCTCCCACGTCCAGCCCGAGCAATCCTGAGGTGTCCAATTAGCAATGACTTGAAAATCAAGGGGATGTAACTGTGAGGTTGAACTGTGCAAAACTGCCATTTTTAAACAGGTTAAAGTATTCAAGTATCAACAATTTCATGTTTCAAATGAATCAGTCTCCCTAGATTTGCATAGGTTGCATTTCCCATGCAGCATCAAATTGGTCATTTTGTTGGTTAATTTGGCCCGTTGCTTTCCTCTCCATTTTGCTGCCCCTTGATCCGCTCTGCAGTGGCAGCAGAGCATTATTTTCGTGGCCTCCATGACCAAATGGAGCCAGCCACAGAGGCAGCAGGCCAAACTGTGCAGTTAAACCCAAACCAGGCGATTCAGGGTCATGTAAATATGACTCACGAATGACCAGCCCGCAGGAAGTTTCAACAGGTCTAACTGGCTCCTTGTTCCTGCACATTTTACCTGTAAAGGGAACTAAATTGGTACTCTTTTCCATTCATCTGGCATATTTGATGTATGTGTTCTGGTGAGTGGGAGACAGCTGATTTCCAAGGCTGTTGCAGAGGGATGATTAGAAAAGCAGGAGGGTATCTTGGCCAAATGTCAAGAATGAAGGAAGGGGCAGTGAGTCAAGTGGCTAAAGAGACGCACATTAGAGTCATTCATTCTTAACCGCTTGGCAGAAGCTGGAACCTCGCACCGCTGGCCAGGCTTCCCACCATCTGGAGCGAAATCAGGACACTCCCACCAGGGCTAGAAGGGCTCCAAGTGGGGGCAGCTGACAGAAGGGCCACGGCCGCATGGCAGGAACACAGACAGAGGAGGACAGTGCTTTCTGCATTTTCTTTTCTGGTTATGAGATGCTTTTGTGAACTGCTGGAGACTGGTCACAGAGTGATTAAGCTGGACAGCTTCTGGCGCTGCTGCCCTGGAGGTGCAGTGTTTTGAAGGTGCTGCACCCCAGATTTCTCAGGGTCCCTTTTCTGGCAATAAAGGCTTCATTTCTCTTGGTACTCCACATGGTCAGAGCCCAGGCTGAAGAACCCTGATTCCCACGGCAAAATTACAGACCCAGCGAGCTAGAGTTAGAAAGACAGGGCCCGGGCAGCGTCCACAAGCCCAGTTCCAACGTTGCAGAGCCTGCTGGAGGGAAGCAAAGACTTCCATAAGCCAAGGGATAGAGGCATGCAGGAGGTCAGCTCTCCGGGGAAAATGCACGACGACTCTGATTTGTAACATCTGCTGATTGCCGTGGTGTCAAAATACTCCCACTGTGACCAGTTTCAAACCACCAATAGTTTAACAGCCGGCTTGCAAAATTTCTGGATGTTTGATAATCTTTCCCCAGCCTGGACAGCTTGAACGCAGCATGACTTGGTGGCATAAAAACTAGAGTCGGGCAAATGCACGAGCTGAGGTTTAACACGAGGGGTCCTGGCGTGGAAGCGTCTCAGGGCCGACTGTCCCCTCCGTCTCCTGCTTCCCTCCCTTCCTCCTAAGCTTGCTCCCTGGACCAGTCGCTACTCGGGACAAGGGTTCTGGTCTCAGGCTCTGACCTTTAACACTGTGCCCGCCCAGTCACATCCCGAAGCACCCAAAGCCCCACGACTTCCTAGATGAGCTCACACAGGTGCTGGGCTCTCAACCGCTCTCCCTGTACCCAAGCCAAGGGCCTACCTGCCAGGAGGCTGCTGCAAGCCTCCTGTTGGGACACTGGTGAGGGGGTCCCATAGCTGGAGCATGGGTGGTCTCAGATGCCTCCCCTAGTGGTCCCTAGGTGGAGTTTAAAATGGCACCTCCATGAGTAAAAATTCAGTTAACTTGTTAGGAAGGTAGAACCCAGCTTTTTATGTAGGATGGGTTTATTCAGAAAGAAATTCCCATGACTCCCAACTGAAAGAATTCAGAATTTAATGATAAATCTATCTTCCAATTATGCACACTAGGGCTGTGTCATCTGCATTTCGGCAAACACATTTTTAGCTAAGCCTCAGGTTCCTTATTTGTGAAACTGAGTGGCCATAGTGAACTGACCTGTAAGGCATCTGTCTGTTCTATGCTTCTGGGATTCTACTTACGGTCAGTGCACGTTTCTCTACACTTCTCTATATGGTTTTTGGTCCTTTATAAATTTTATCGTTGTTTTTTTCTGCTCCTGGGACATCTGGTATTCCACTAAACATCATTATTTAGCTGTGCCACAAATAACTGTTTTTTGGCTAAATGAACTCGGAGGGCATTCTAGGTTAAACCAGTACTTTGCTGAGCATCTTCCTCAGAATCTCTGATATTCTAGGGTGCATTGTGTAACTCCAAAAGGGAAACTTAATGCTCATGGATTCCCAGACTTTTTGATCTCAAATGGTTTTTTTCTAAGGACAGTGTATCAATCTTCCAGGGCTGCTGTATCAAAATGACAAATTGGGTGGCTTAAACAACAGAAATTATTTTTTTTTCATGGTTTTAGAGGCCGGAAGTTCAAAATCGAGGTATTGGCAGGACTGTGTACTCCCCGAGGGGTGAGTCTGTTCCATGCCTTTTCTTCAGCTCCTGGTCTTGCCCGCAGCCCTTGGTGTTCCACAGCTTGTAGATGCATCGCTCCAGTCTCTGCTCTGTCACACGTGCGATCTCTCTTTGTGTCTCTGCATCTTTCCTCTCCCAGGAAGGCTGCACAGACACCAGTCACACTGCATTAGGACCACCCTAATTGAATACGACCTCATCTTAACCTGATCACATCTGCAAAGGCCCCTTTTCCAAAGAAGGTCACAGTCACAGGTACCAGGGGTACAGATGTCAACATACCTTTCGCGGGACGCAATTCAACCCGCAACAGCCAGCCATTAAAATTTCCTAAAACTGGTGGTCCAGCAAACACATTTTGGGAAATGCTGTCCCAGGAGCTTGTAATTAGGATTCACTCACCAGGTATGTGGTCCAACCCTTAGGTCAAGAGTTCTTAACGTGATATCAAGGGGTTTGTGCCCTTGGATGAGAAAAAAATTGTATCTTTATTTGTACTGTTTCTGATTGAAATTTAGCATTTCCTTCATTTTTCAGTGTAGGCAACAAAGCAAAGTAATATCACTAGTACTGTGACTTTGTCAGAGTTTTCCACCTCATACTACAGTTATTGCAGGTCTCTTGGGACATCATTCATAAATCATCACCATCTCAAAATCACAGTGGGTGTGAGACTCGGCACTAGATCTTATTTAATGGGTTAACAAGCAAACACATAATGCAGATCTGTTTTAGTATTTTGATAACTGTATTTCAACCTCATCAGTTTCCTTTGTAATCCTTTATATTTTCTTTTATACACTTAAAAACACTATTCTGAGCAGACTGTAGGCTTCACCATTCAGCCAAAGTCCACCCTGACCCAAAAAAGTTAAGAGCCTCTGTCCCCACTCATGGCCCCCATGACTGATACAACCCAGCTTCCGTAGAAGGGTTTAGCTGAGAGACAAAACACTAGCAGAATCTTTCCATTTTTACAAATAAAGAATTAATACATAAGCCAAACACAAATATTATAAAATACTTTATTTGTAAATGAAATACCCAATTGGGGCAAAATGTAAAAATGAAATAGACATAGGTACAATAAGTTATACAAGAATCTTCAATTATCGTCGCTCTGTATTGATTATAAATAGATCACATTACCAAGGAAAGCATTGTCTAGGTGTTGGGATAATTTAGTTAAAAGTATCTGAATAACTTACTAGACACATTCCTCTTGGTGTGTGAACAAATGTATCAAATAATTGAACATACTCAACTATACTCCCTGTGAAAACTGCAAAGTCCTGGTCAGACGAGGCTAAACCTCTGAGCTGCATGAATGAGCTTGGTCACATTGTGGTCCAGTCTTGGAAGGATCACTGACACATAACCCCTGGAGCACTTTGGCCTCGGTGAAAGCACCAGAGCGTCGAGAGGCTGAATTCCAGCTGGGCTCTGCCCCTGAACATTTAAGGAACTAAGCACGTCGTCTGATTCTGAGCCTGTTTCCTCATCTGTGAAAAATGGGGATGCTGGTGTGTGTCCTTTCTGTCTCCCAGGGCAACTAGTAGATTTGATTGAGATAACCGATGTAAAAGTTCTTCGTATGTAGAAGTGCTGTATGAGGATGAGACATAGAACTATTCTTTCATTCTTTAATGTGCCAACATCCAAATGGGCATAAATTGATGGCATTCTCTTGTATATAAGGAGAAAATTAATATATATGTATTTTTTTCATGGACACTCAAATGCCAGTGTCCCCCCCCCCGCCATCATTAAGTGCCTGGAAAGGCATTGGAGGTCCCAGCAAGGCTGCAGGGAAGTGGGCCTGGGTGCTCCTGGGCTTCCGTTTGCCACCTCCTTCCCCTCAAGGTGCCCCCCCCCCCACCTATCTCCTTTCTGCCAAGCCCTCCCTTATGTACTCCCCGCGCCCCAGCCTGTGCTTCCCACCTTCCTGTCCTTCAGAATGTTCCATCTTGCAGTTTGTTCCCACGGGGCAGTGGTCCTCACTGTTGGCTGGACGTTAGAACTATCTGGGGAGGCTTTTCTCTGTCCTGATGGGGGGACCCCCACCCAGATGACTACATCAGGGTCTCTGAGGGAGGGCCTGGCGTCAGTATTTTAAGGCGCCCCCGGTGCAAGTGCCACCCGGGTGTTGCCTGGAGGTTGATCGGAAAATTGGAGTCCCTGTTCACCTGCAGCCAGCTATCCCTCCCAGGGAGGCTTTGTTTAACTCAGGCCAGCCGTCTTAAGTTTTCTTAAAGAAGGTTCCCCCAGCGCACCTCACTCCGGTTCCCACTGCTTCCGTCCACCCTCATGACATTCTCCGGGAGCGTTATCCTCATTCCAATCCATCCCCCTAGGGAGACTCAACCACTTAAACGTGGTTTAAGCCGAAGCCATGCACTTCCTTCCCAGAGCATCGAGGTGCCTTTCTGAGGAACAGGGCCTCCTGCTGAGATGGGCAGCTGCCCCAAGCCCTGCATCCGGGCTCACCTGGATGCCTCGCCTGCGCCTCTGTGTTCCGCTGCATCAGGGAGAGGATTTCGGAGAGGAGCTGTGGCTTCTGCTCCCTTTACACTTTCTCGCGGCCAGTTCTCTCCTCCACTGCTTTGCACATTCATAGGGAGGGCTGAAGGCTGGAGCTGGGGGAACTGTTTCCAAGCAGGCAGGTGCACAGCCCTGCAGCCTGCAGGAACATGCTCAGCCCAGGAGTGTTAGCTCTGCACCTGCAGTCTTGTGTCTTCCTCAACCTGGGCCCCTCATCTAGGTGTTCCAGGGGTCTGCATCCGCCCTGCTCGGGGCGCAGGCACGATCCCAAGACGCTGTTGCTATTGCCCCGTGGCAGGGTTCTGACCTCCTGAGTCCTAGGCGGCTGCCATCACCATGGGATTTAAAGGCCATATAGAAAGGCCCCCCACTGGGTCCCTCTAGTCTTCCCAGGTCCCCGACACTCCCACCTTTGAGAGCTGCTCCTTTGCCAAATCATTGCATCTCCAAGAGCCCTGGGTTGGAAGGTTTGCACCCTACGAGGACTCATCCATTCATCTCTCATCTGATGTTGCCCCTTCCGGAGCCCCGAACTGAAGCAGGAATGTGCTCTGAGGTCTGGACTCGCACTTGTGTGCTCTTGGGCAAATCACTCACCTTCCTGAGGATCAGTGTTCTCATCAAAGAAACAAAGATTTTCATATTTTCCCCACATATTTCTACAGGACTGTGGTTGAGATCATTGGAGATAACAGACAAGAAATGGATTTTTCTACAGCAAAGCCCATTTGACAACGTGTAAGACAGTTTCATTACTGTTATCAGAAAAAAAAAGTGTGGGTCTGCTTTGTGCACTGCAGCTCGCTGACGGCGAGGGGCAGAGTTTGGAGGAAAAAGGTGCTGCAGTGGAAGCTCATGATGTCCTGAGGGTGAGCCCAGGGTCATGGGAATCTGGAGAAGACAGCCTGAGTGGGGAGGAGAGAAAATTAGTTGGGAAATGCTGGCCAACTTCCCTTATTCCACATTGTGCCAGGAGCCAGCTCAGCCACCACTGGGATAGGTGATGAAGAAGCAGCAAGCCCTCCGCTAGCTCCCATGTGCGTATTTCAGACTCAGCAGGAGGGTGGGCCACTGACAAGAATAATACAGACCAGCAGGCAGGGCAGGAGACACCCGAAAGGAAAACAAGGAAACAGGTTTGAGCTGGGCCTGGCCTCCTTGGCGTGGACTGCCTGACTGGCACCAGGCTTCTAGGGTGGCCCTGGGTGTGGTGCTTGATGGGGCCAGTAGAGCATCCACCAGGCTCAGCACCCAGGCCTTGGGGAAGCTCACTTGTGCAGGGGGGTAGGACCTTAGCCTTGCAACCAGGCTGGGTGAGGCAGGCTCAGTGCAGAGCACTTCCTTCTTTGGGGGTCATGTGTCCCTTGTGATTAGAGAGATTGGGGCACCTGCTTCTTCAGGACCACCTTGTGTGGTCCAGGCTCTGCCCTGTCTTCCCAAGAGACTGTGCCTGTAGGCAAGTCACATCACCTCTCCAGGCTGTCCTGTTCATTTCTGTAAGGCGAGGAGAGTGGCCAGTATGACCTCCAGGATCCCTTCCAGCTCGGCATCAGGTTGCCCTATGATCCAAGCCTAGTTTCTAAGGAACCCGAGAAACAATATGGCGTATATGACTGGAGCCCATGGATTGAGTGTTTAAATTTTTTCTGAAATTATAAGATCTTTCACATTAAAACCAATACTGAAGTATGGCATGCCTCAAAAAATTAAACATAGAATTATCATATGATCCAGAAATTCCACTTCTGGGTATACACCCTTAAGAATTGTAAGCAGAGATTCATACAGTTGCACACCAATGTCCACAGCAGTATTATTCACAACAGCCAAAAAAGGTGGAAACAACCCAAATGTCCATTGAAGGATGAATGGAAACAAAAAGTGATACATACACACAATGGGATGTTATTCAGTATCAAGAAGGAAGGGATTCTGACACGTTCTGCAATCTTGAGGACATTATGCTCAGTGAAGTAAGCCAGCCACAAAAGGACAAATACTGTATGTGTACCTATATGAGGTACTTAGAATAGGCAAATTCATAGAGACAGGCAGTCGAATGCTGGTTACTAGGATCTGAGGGAGAAGAAAGTGGGGAGTTAGTGTTCAATGGGTGCAGAGTGTCAGTTTGGGAAGATGGAAAGTTCTGGAGAGGATGTAGGTGGGGGCTGTACAACACTGTGAGTGCACTTTACACCCCTGAAATGGACACGTAAAATGGTTAATTTTATGTATATTTCATCAGAATAAAACAAATACTGGAATATTTATGCATGTTAATGGTTTTAATTTGGTATACAAAATAATGGTAATGAAGCATAATTCCTGCTGGTTTGTGGCCCTCTTGCTGATATGAAGAATGAAACCAGTCACTGAATAATTAACTTAAAAAATCAGTTAAAGTGGGGAATTACTAAAAATGATGCTCCTGTACTATATTGTAATTTAACTCAAAATTTCTAAATGTACATTTAATCATCAGTTTTGGGGTCTTTTTCTTTGGGTGTAGGTTTGCTGAGTGGAGTTCAGCATGGTCTCCCTTGCACAAACCACACCAAGGTATATCATTTACAGATTCTAGTTTCAGAGTGTTTGCAGTGGAATGAGGTCTTAGAGACACTTGTGAATAAAAATGAAGGCAGAGTTCTCCTAGATTCTTATGACCCTTCTCCATCGCCAGTGCTTTTATAATTGTATCAGCTCACCTAATTCCACATCTCTATGTCTGTATAACTCTCTGTCCATATAAACATATTTAAATAGCTAGTCTTTATGAAGCTTTCCCAAGGCATTCAATGCATTGTGTTCTGGAACAACCAGGCTGCACAGCCTTAGGAACACACACCATTCCTAGTTTGCAAGCATAAAGCCCAATGGGAGAAAGCAGAAGTGCACACTTCATCATAAGACAAGTGAAAAGATAAGCCGTAATGCGGGAAAAGATACTTGTGACACAAAAACTGACAAAGGAGTAGGATGTCAACCACATAAAGAACTTAACCAAATCCATAAAAAGAAATAACCCAGTAGGAAAATGAGCTTAACACTTGGACAGGCATGAAACCAAAGAGGAAAGCCAAATGGACGCTACTCAGAAAAGAGGTTCAACTTCATTAGTAATCAGGGAAATGCAAACTGAAACCCCAACGAGGTAACACTACATATGAGACAGGCAAAAACTAAGAACGCTGAAAATACTAACTGTCGGCAAGTATTTGGGGCAGCAGAAACTCTGGGGAAAGTTGTAACCTGCTAATAACCTCTTTGGGAAGCAGCTTGTGTTGTCTATGGAGATTGAAGACACACACACCCTGTGGTCCCGCACGTCCACTCTCAGGTCGATTCCTGGAGAAACCCAGGCAGAGGTGCACCAGAGTGTACATACGGCAGGAGTGCTCATGGCAGCCTGGCTCACTCAGCTCAACCCAAACCACTCAACACCTGTAGGATAGGTACATAAATTCTAATACGGTCGAACAATGAAATACTATGTAACAATGAAAATGGACAAACTTTACACAAAACAACAGGAGTAAATCTTCAGGGCATAGTATCAAGCAATAGGAGCAAGACAGAGAATACCTTGCGATCACATTTATTTCAGGTTGAAAAGCAGGTAAAGCTAAGCTCTGGTGTATCATTTGGCGATGTATACATAGATGGTTACCTCTGGGGGTGTTGTGGGCTGAATGTTGCAGTTTGAACCTCCCATGTGATGGTATTGGGGGATGGGGCCTTTGGGAGGTGATGTTTAGACAGGTCATGAGGCCATGTGGAGCCATCGTGATGGGCTTATAAGAGGAGACCAGAGAGCTTGCTTCCTCTTCTTCTCTCTGCCATGTGAGGCCACAGCGAGAAGGCAGCCGTCTGCAAGCCAGGAATGGATTCTCACCTGAACCAGACCCTGCTGACACCCTGATCTTGGCCTCCCAGCCTCCAGAACTGTGAGAAATAAATGTCTGTTGTTTAAGCCACCCAGTCTGTGGTATTTTAGCAGCCCAGGCGGACTAATACAGGGGCATTGGGTGTGTTTTCAGTTGGGAGGGACATAAGGGGGGCTTCCAGGTATTGGCAGTGAGGCCCCAAGGAGGGTTACACAAGAGTGTACTCTCTGATTATTCATTAAACTCCATGTGTATGTTCTATTTATGTAAAGGTATGTAAATTTCAAAGCAATCATTCACACTAAGAATGAATAAAGGAGTATGTGGGTGTGCCAGCAAGTAGCTTCCTTGATGCCTGGCTTCTTTTTTTAAAAAAATATTTTGTGACACTATGTTTATTTTTTATTTTTTAATTTTTTTGCGGTACACGGGCCTCTCACTGCTGTGGCCTCTCCCGTTGCGGAGCACAGGCTTCGGACGCGCAGGCTCAGCGGCCATGGCTCACGGGCGCAGCTGCTCCGCGGCATGTGGGGTCTTCCCGGACCGGGGCACGAACCCGTGTCCCCTGCATCGGCAGGTGGACTCCCAACCACTGCGCCACCAGGGAAGCCCTATATTTTTAATTTTTATTTTATTTTAATGTGGACCATTTTTAAAGTCTTTATTGAATTTGTTACACTATTGCTTCTGTTTTATGTTTTGAGTTTTTGGCCATGAGGCATGTGGGATCTTAGCTCCCCGACCAGGGATCGAACCTGCACCCCCTGCATTGGAAGGTGAAGTCTTAACCACTGGACCGGATGCCTGGCTTCTTGATTGTGGCATGTCTTATGAGGGGACAGGGGGCCGTGGTTAATCCAGGAACCCGATCAGGTGGAGCTGTGGTGGAGGAGGTGAGGGGGTGTCTGAGAAAACATGATGAAAAGGAAATACTGATACATTCAGGTTGAGAATAGAGGTTCTGAGGAGTTATAATATTTTATTTTTCATTTTACATTATTACATAACCCACAATATGACAAATGAAATGCATTTTACTCTTTTTGGTGACAGTTCCGTTGAGTTCCTTCTCTGGCCCAGTCTTCGTATCTGGGAGAAAATGAGCATTTTCTGGGTATTTGTAGGTATAATCTGGATAAAGGCAGAAAAAGGAATTGTTTTCAGAAGTATTATGACAATATATAAAGCATAGTAAAGGGATGTAATCTCAGAAAATATTCAAAGCCTACCTCTACTTCCAAAGTGACCCTGTGGAACTTTGGCAGGATCCCACAGAAGCCTGGGCTTCTTGCAGTGGAGCTTGAAAACCCTGCTGTAGGAAGGAGGGACCCAGCCCTGGGCGTGTGGGGGAGAAAGGAAAGCTGAGTAATTCCTAACTCTAAGGGCACATTCTTCCCAACTCCATCATAGCTTTGCTACATCTCGGAGCTGTTGGCCTGTGGGTCTGATAACTGAGGTACTGAGAGAAGAGGACCTGCCCTCCTCTACTCCCTTCCCTTGTCACCCAGTGTCAACACTGTCTCATTTCATTTGTGTTCAGTATGTGTTTGTTGAATTAAATTCTTGAAAGCATCCAAACGGAACTCAAAGAGCTTTGGGGATTCAGAGGGGTGAGACTTTCTAAGGGGTTATTTCTGCTTGGGAAATGGGGCGACACTTCATGAGAGGGAAGGATACTGAGCTGAGCTTTGAAGAATGAAGAGGGGCTGTAGACAAGGTTGGATTTGAGAGAGGAGGTTGAAAAGGCACAAGGCAACAAGGACAAAGCATGCTTGGAGATCGCGGTGGTACTTGTTTGGCCGAGCCTGTGGGAAATAAAGGGAGAGAGTTAAGCAGAGGTGGAAGTGAGGCGATTCCTGCATGCTAGAGCCAGAGACGGTCACAGGCAATGCGGACGACGAGTGATTTGGAACAGAGGTGTGCCTGGGCCAAAGGGCAGTCTGGTGGCAGCACATAGGCTGGCTTGGACAAATGATTGGCTGAAGCCAAGGGAATGGGTTGGGGGGGCTGGTACAGGAGGTCTGGGCAGGAGGTGAGGAGGGCCAGACAGACAGGGCTGGTAGAGCACATGGGAAGTAAGGAGCAGCTAATGCTCAAAGAAAGAAAAACAGGTATAATATTAGTTACAGATGGGCTGAGGGGTGCAGCTGGAGAGAGATGGCTGAGGTTTGTAAGACCAGTGACAAGGAGTAAGAGGGTGCCATGAGTGGAAAAAGAAGCTGGTGTGTGTGAGCACATAATGAGCTGTATTTTTTGCTGGATTTGAGGTGCTGTGGGGACATCTAAGTGGAAACATCCCACAGCTGGAAATTTGGAACTGGAAGCCAGGAAAGAAGTTGGAACTAGAGCAACAGATTCAGGAGACAAGAGCCTGGAAGTGAGCCCTGGGTGTGCACTGGCCCCAGAGGGAAGCTGCGTGGAGCAAGAGAAGACAGGATTTGGTGAAGGTGCATATTTAGGATGAAGAAGAAAGAAAGAGGCCGTGAGTCAGAATCAAAGGATAATGTAAAATTAGATGAAGAAACAATTTGGCTTTTAGCTCTGTCCATTCACCTCTGCAATTCCCAGGGACAGAGCCATCTATGCTTCATTTTAGGATTAGACCAATCCTGGGCTCTGTGAGGAAGCTCATCATTTTTGGTCTTAAGTGGTTCCAGGAAGTTAAACTTGCTTGTTGAATAGGCTCCGCTACAATACTTATCTTTGTTGCAGGTTGTAGCTAACCCCGCAAGAGCCTGGAATAGGGAGGACCACTGTGAATGATGATGCCTGTAACTCTGCATGAGAAGGACCAATAAATAATCAACGCAGAGCTCTTAGTATGTGACAGTCTCTGCTAAGAATTTTGCAAGCATTATCTCACTTATTCTTTAATCCACTTGGCCAGATGTTAACATCTTCCCAGCTAACAGAAAGGAGACTGATACTCAGAACAAATAAGTTCACAAAGCTAGGAGGTAGCAAAGGGTTGGAGTCCAGGCAAGCTAACCCAACAGCCCTACGTACTACATTATCCCGAGAGAGAGAGAAGAAGCAGGAATGAGAGTCCAGATGTAAGAAAGATGAGAGTGAGAGAAAGTTCAAGATTAGTTGATAACGTTAATTACCAAAGGTGCCTTGGACTGACAGTAAAGATTCCCCAAGTCGACGAAACAAATAGGTCTTTATATCCTGGACAGTAAGGGAGGATTTAGGGTTTCCTGGAACTAATCATGTTTTGATACAATCTCCCCGCCTAAAGATATGCAGAAGCCATCTCTGAGAAGACTTACAAGGTACTAGAGAATCATGAAATCTGAAATGAATCCTGAGGCGTGTGATGTCAGAAAGATGGCAGAATAGGAAATTTCTACTGTCATCCCCTCACAGAATGTTGATTTGACAATCACGCATGGACAAAAGTACCTTTTTGGGAGTCCAGGAGTCCAGCGGAGAAGGTCCAACAGAAAAATCTGAGCCTGGATGCATTGAAAAGGGTAAGAAGAATGGTTTCTTCTCCTTCACCTGCATCACTTCTCCCCCAAGGTGGCACAGCTTAGTGCCAAGAGAGACCCCCTTGGGCTGCATTTCTCTCCCAGGGAAAAGTGACAGTGTGTGAGCGAGCACCCAGCTTCCCGAGCTGTGCGGGATGCTGCTCAAGGGGCCCACTTCCTTCTCACCCCACCCAGAATACTGAGGTGATTTGCACAGTTGAGGAGTTGGGAGGGGCTGGGAGCACAGCAACTAGGACTCAGAACTCATCAAAAGGTTGCTGCTAAGTGCTTTGCAGTTCATCCTATTAAATGCTTTGTGCGCTCCGTCAGGAAGCTCCCCCACAAGCCAGTGGGGACACCTCACTTGTGGTCCACCTAACTGGCCCATGGGCACCTCTAACGTTCTGTGCACTTCAACCTCCTCTCCCCGCATGGCCAGCTCCTGGCACATGCTCCCATGGATGGTGAGCGCCAGACTTTGCAGACGGCTGTGTGATTGGGAGAAAGCCCACAAACTTGAGTGCTTCAGGGCACTGCTCTAGAGAGAACTGGGAGGCTCTTAGAACCCGGCCAAGTCTCCACCGAAAACTGTTAGAGCTAGTCAACAAACTCAGGAGAATTGGAGGATACACAATCAACATACAAAAATCACTTTCATTTCTGTATACCAGCAACAGAATAGCTGAAAAAGAAATTAAGAAAACATTCCCACTTAAAATACTTAGGAATACATTTAACCATGTGGGCTAGAGACCTGTACACAGAACACTATAAGACTTCGACGAAATAAACTGAATAAGACACAAACAAATGGAAACATATTCCATTTTCGTGGATTGAAAGGACTAATGTTGTTAAACTGTCCATACTATCCAAAGCGATCTATAGATTCATATCAAAATTCCAGTGGCATTTTTCATAGAAATTGAAAAAAATTCTGAAATTCATGTGGGACCACAAAAGACTCCAAATGGCCAAAGCAGTCTTGAGAAAGAAGAATGATGCTGGAGGCATCACAATTCCTGATTTTAAACTACATTTCAAAACCACAGTAATCAAAACAGTATGGTACTGGCATAAAAACTCACACCTAGGTGGATGGAACAGAATAGAGAGCCCAGAAATAAACCCATGTCAACTAGTCTTTGACAAGGGTGCCAGGAACATACAGTGGGGCAAGGACAGTCTGTTCAATAAATGGTGTTGGGGAAATTAGATATCCTTATGTAAAATAATGAAACTATCCTTATCTTAAACGACTCACAAAAATTAATGGAAAATGGATCAAAGCCTTAAATGTAAGACCTGAAACTGTAAAGCTCTTAGAAGAAAATATAAAGAAAAAGCTCCTTGACATAAGGTCTTGGAAATGATTTTTTGGATATGACATCAAAAGCACAGGGAAGAAAAGAAAAATAAACACGTGGGACTACATAAGCTGAAAAGCTTCTGTACAGCAAAGGGAATTCTCAACAAAACGAAAGGCAACCTATAGAATGGGAGAAACCATTTGCAAATCATATATCTGATATGAGGTTGATATCCAAAATATATAAGGAACCCATAGAACTCAGTAGCAAAGACACCACAAATAATCTGATGAAAAAATGGGCAGAGGACCTGAATAGACATTTTTCAAAGAAGGCATATAGATGACCAACAAGTACATGGAAACATGCTCAACATCACTAAACATCAGGAAAACGCAAATCAAAACCACAACGAGATATCACCTCACACTTGTTAGGATGGTTATTATCAAAAGAGATATATATGGAACCTAAAAAAAAAAGTGGTACTGATGAACCTAGTTGCAGGGCAGGAATAAAGAGGTAGACATAGAGAATGGACTTGGGGACATGGGGTGGGAGGGGGAAGCTGGGTGAAGTGAGAGTAGCATCAACGTTTATACACTACCGAATGTAAAATAGTTGACTGGTGGGAAGCAGCAGCATAGCACAGGGAGATCAGCTCAGTGCTTTGTGATGACCTAGAGGGGTGGGATAGGGAGGATGGGAGGGAGGCTCAAGAGGGAGGGGATATGGGGACATGTGTATGCACATGGCTGATTCACTTTGTTGTGCAACAGAAACTAACACAGTATTATGAAGCAATTATACTCCAATTAAGATCTATTAAAAAATAATAAAAAGACCAGAAAACTGACAAGAGATAACAAATTTTTGCAAGGATATGGAGAAAAGGGAACCCTTGTGCACTGTTGGGGGGAATGAAAGTTGGTACAGCGATTATGGAAAACAATGTGGAGGTTCCTGAAAAAACACAAAAGAGAATTCCCATACGATCCAGCAAGTCTGCTTCTGGGTATACATCCAAAGGAAAGGGAATCAACGTCTCGAAGCACTCGCATATTCACTGTGGCATTATTCACAATAGCCAAGATATGGAAACAACCTAAGTGTCTTTTAACAGATTAATGAATAAAGGAAATGTGATATATATTTATATATATATCACAATTATACATACACACACACACCGTAGAATATGATTCAGCCATAAAAAGAAGGAAACCTTGCCATTTGTGACAACATGGATGAACCTGGGGGACATTATGTTCAATGAAATAAGCCAGAAACAGAAAGACACATACTGTATGATCTCACTCATATGTGGAATCTTAAAAAAAAAGTTGTAGAAATACAGGGTAGAACGTTGATTGACAGGGGTTGGCGGGTGGAAATGGGGAGATGTTGGTCAAAGTGTACGAACTTTCAGTTATAAAACGAGTAAGTCCTGGGGATCTAATGTACGGCATGGTGACTATAGTTAACAACACTGTATTGTGTTTGTTGTTGTTGTTGTTGTTGTTGTTGTTGTTTTTGCGGTGCGCGGGCCTCTCCCTGCTGCGGCCTCTCCCGTTGCGGAGCACAGGCTCCGGACGCGCAGGCTCAGCGGCCATGGCTCACGGGCCCAGCCGCTCCGCGTCATGTGGGATCCTCCCGGACCGGGGCACGAACCCGCGTCCCCCGCATCGGCAGGCGGACTCTCAACCACTGCGCCACCGGGCAAGCCCTGTATTGTATATTTGAAATACGCTAAGAGAATAGCTCTTAAGCGTTGTCACCACACACACACACCATGGTAACTGTGTGAGCTAATAGATGAGTTAATCAACTTAACTGTGGTAATCATTTCACAATGTATACATATATCCATTATGCTGTATACTTTACAGTTGTATTCGTCATTTATACCTCTATAAAACTGGAAAAAATGAAAACCAATCGTGAATCCGAAGGTAGTGAGAGGAAGGGTGGTAGCTGGTGTGACTTCCTCCCCGACGCCACCTCTAGCTTGTTGGGTGAGCCTCCTGAGGCGAGCTAGTAATCTAGTATTAGACTGACGAATGTGAAAAGTACATTATAACACTTTACTAAGAAGCATGAGCCGTTGTCCTGCCTTCAGAGAGTCGTGGGGAGACAGAGGTCACAGGGTAGGGGGAGGCACAACCTTAGAAAGGACAGGCCAGCTCAAACTCACAATTTTATTTTTGTGAATCGATTAATGTCCAGGAGAAACACTTATCTATAGAAAGAATGTTTTTGTTACTGCTCCCATTAGAGACTGAAGATCCCTCTAGTGCTCCTATTCTGCGATTCTGAGAGCTAGAAAGAACGAGTGTGCGCGCGCGTGCGTGTGCGCGTGCGCGCGCGTGCGTGCGTGCGCGCGAGATGCGTGTGTATGTGTAGATATAGAGTGAAATCCGCACCTTCTCCAGGGCCTGGTGGAATAGTGGAGATGATGTGGAAACAGCTAAGGAGCTGTAAGAGCTGGTGGCGGGTGAAGGTGAGGGCAGTGGTATATGTGTATATTTTTAGAAAGAGGGAGAGAGAATTCCTTTGTTGGGGCTTGGAATCCCTGGACAGCGCTTCACCTTCAGTGATGTGTCTTTTCTTCTTCCTTTACTTGGGGCTGGGCAGGCACCTGACAGCCTGACCCCAGGGCTCTGCAGAGAGGCTGAGAAATGCTTGTCCAGGCACAGGTGAAGTAGGATGTTTCTGGAAGAGCCGGCTCCTTTATTTCACACTAGACTCTGGTGACTGGTGGATTGAATGAGGCAGAGCATGGGAATAGTCGAGCTCAGCGCTGACACGTAAGCCTGCAGTACAGGACAGCTCTTAATAGTGCGATAGAGACAGGGCTGGAATCTGAGCCTGACTCTTGCCCTGCATCCCTGTCGGCCTCTCCCCACGGCACACGCCCACACGCCGCTCCTTTCATCCTCCTGGGCTCCCCATGTCTGCGATCAGGACTGCCCTGCACGCATCTGAATGAAAATGAATAACAATACAGGTTAGATCACAGGGCTGGGGGAGCCTGAATAGGGGTCCTGAGGCTTCACTGGCTCAGCGTGAAAACTTGGCCTGTCTTTTGCAGCCCAGAAGCTGGAGGGATAATGGACTTAAAGTGGTGCCTTCTCTCAGGCTAATTAGAAAGTCAGCAAGCCAGGGCCCTGGGATTCCCTGTGCTCCTCCCCGAGAAGGGGAAGCAGCTCCTGACCCTCGGGGCGCTGAGCAGGGAGGCGGTGCTGGCAGGGAAAGCGCCAGGTGCAGCAGGGGGCAGACCGCGGGTCACCCGCTGCAGCTGCGCAGACTGCCTGCTAACCTCCCGCAAGTTACTTTGCCTCTTGCAGGCTTCGTTTTTCCCCCGTTAGAGCAGGGATGATACTTTGCAGATTAATCCTTTGTCAGTTGCTTCGTTTGCAAATATTTTCTCCCATTCTGAGGTTTGTCTTTTCGTCTTCTTTATGGTTTCCTTTGCTGTGCAAAAGCTTTGAAGTTTCATTAGGTCCCATTTGTTTATTTTTGTTTTTATTTCCATTTCTCTAGGAGGTGGGTCAAAAAGGATCTTGTGGAGATTTATGTCATAGAGTGTTCTGCCTATGTTTTCCTCTAAGAGTTTGATAGTGTCTGGCCTTACATTTAGGTCTTTAATCCATTTTGAGTTTATTTTTGTGTATGGTGTTAGGGAGTGTTCTA